AAGATATATAATCCTCATCATTTATTTATGCATCATTAGCCCACACTTACTAATTTGTATCGTATCGTTTTATTTTGGCAGGCTTCTCAGGGAGCTGAATAAAAATGTACGTAACAGGGCGAAGCCCGAATGATCAATTATAAAGGCTTGGTTGGAAATTACTATTACTAGTGTGCTAGTATAAAGGTTAAGTGATCAGGCTTTCTTTCAATCAAAATTGTAACATAATGCAATTGTGTGTTTGGTCCAAATTTGGCTTATTCAACTGTTGTGATTGTTATTGGATATCATATATTATTCATTATAATGTCCAGGGTTTGGGAATTATTATAATTTTAGAAGAGGTTTTGCCGGAATTTCAGTTTTATTTGTTGTGTTTGTTTGAATGTTTTTATTTTTTTGCAGCAAAGAAAAATACCCGGGGACCTTGTCACTAGTTGAAGACGGTGAAGGCCACCCGGGTGACTAACAGATGTATCACGATCAGATATGACGACCAGCATTAGGATGCACCAATGGCATAGCAACATAGCGCATTAGCCCACAACACTGGTCATGTTGTTTGGACCTATTACCCTATGCAATAGAAGTCTTAGAAGGCGATGTCAGACGAGGTGAAGACGAAGATGCGCGCATAATTGTCGGTAAGTATCCTACCTTTAATTGTTTTTCCTTAAAATTTTATATATTTATATTACTTAATGTATGTAATTCATTTGTTACATTGTAGACGAACTACAATTTCGACGACATCAACGACGATATGTTGGCGTATGTCAACAGGCTCTTTGCTGAATGATACAAGTAATGGAAGAACGACCTGCACCAATATTTTAAGACATTTGATGATCCAAAGGCCGCTATTGAGGAAGGTTGCCCGAACGAGTTTGAGGACCGCAAAGATAATTGGGTGTGGCTCTGCAACCATTTTTAGGAGCCTGGCTATGTGGTATGTTTTTTTATATTAAGATTAAAAGTATTATACGTTTCTTACTAATGTTTATTGGATTTTTTATATTTCATCTAAATTAGAATTAATATGTTTGTTTTTTGTATAACAGAAGAAGGCGAAAGCCAACAAGAGCAATCGGGAGAAGAAGACTATTCTCCACCATTCCAGTTCAAGGCCCTTCTCATATAGGAGTGAGGCGCGGCGGCAAGTAATAACAAAGTTTTTCATATTCGATTTTTAATATGTCAATAATATTAATTTTTTTTTTCATACTAACAATTTTGTATCTTTTTTTATTCAAGGGGGTTCAAAATTCCCGGAGATCGATGTCTTCAGCGATGTTTATGTTCGACCAGGGGATGAGCTAGCCGAGTCACTTCATGTAAGTATTCTTCAATTGTAATTACTATCTTACGTATTCAAGTATCATGGTTATTATTTGAATGTTATTATTAATATTTTCATGTTATATTACACAAGTGACGATGATGAAGAAGATGCAGTTAGTTCTTCAGGAATCCGCCTCCCAGCTTCCTCCCGAAACTTCGCTCAAGTCTGTGGATCCCCCAGAGGATCTAGGGTTTCAGATCCTTACAGAGACCTTCGAGCATACTCTTAGGCGGAGGCCGATGACATATTGTAGATGGATGAGGAATGCCCGACTGCAGGAACCTAGAGCCTTTTCATCATCGTAGTCAAAGAGTAAGGTGACAGCTTTGACAGTAGAGGTGGCCGACCTTAGGATTGAGCTCACCTCGTATAAAAGCCAAATGTCTCAGATTGTACAGGCCCTCAATTAGTCCAGCATTCCGGATCTTCGTCCGCCGTCGACATTCGAGCCCCTCCAACCCGAGCATGCCCACAACTCTACCCTTTCAACCTCTGAGCCCGTCCCCAACCTCAAGACCTTGCAGCCGTCTCTGAATGACGACCCTATAGATTACACCACATTATTTTATAGTTTTGTACTCCCTTACTTTTTAAACATTTTCCTTGTACATACATTTATATTTATTTAAATAAATTATTTTTCTCTTCATTACTTTTTTTTAATTACAATTTAATTTTATTACAAAATTAAAAAAACATTACAAAAATTAAATTTAAAAAATATATGCATTTTTATTTTTGCTTGACGAATACCTTTGTCTTGCAATATTATAGTGACGAACAAGGTTTCGTCGCGCAAAGTTTTGAGAGACAAATACTAGTTGTCCCACGTTTGTATCCTGGTATTTTGTGCAACGAACACATTCATTCCTATAAATTTTGTGTGATGAAGGCTAAACTGTCGCGCCGCATTTTTGCGACCAATGCTATTGTTTGTCGCGCAAAGTCTTTCTTCACGATCTTTGCGCAACGGATTCTGCACGACGAAGTTTTCATCACGTAGACATTTGAGTGACGGAATGACACTTTACGTGACCAACTTTGTTCTTCACGCAAATAGTTAAACGTACGAGTGTACTCTAACACCTAATATTGTAGGCGTATAAATCTGATGGCATGCAAAAGAAATTATTGCTTATGCCCTTTGTAGAACTCTGGGTGGGGTGACTATACCAAGGACAAGGAAATGGTACCTAAAAATGTGTTTTCTCTAAGCTCAAAGTAGATAATGATCAGTTCTTAAAATTATACTAGTTTTCTAAAAGTCTCTTTTTAGGTGCTAGATGGCTGGTCACCGTCACGATGAGTCTCAAGGTGTTTAAAAAATAAAAAAAAATATGCCTAGATCTATTTAGCACCCGTCTAGACTCGCCTGGGTCGCGCTTTCACTTAGATATAAAATTATTAACTCTCATTTTGCATTTTATTTTTTCAATAAATTGTAACAGACTTGTTAGATACTTAGACGAAGACTCATTATATGTTTGTTCTTCATGTTTTCAATAATGTTCTAATATTATAATGGAAACTATTTGCACTCCAAAAATCTTATTTTGCACTTCTCACAAGTGGTATTTTTTTTTTAAATACATAAAATTTGGAGTGCAAAATGAGAAATGTGGAGGGCCAACGACAATTCCCATTATATTTATGTCATTCTATTTTGCAACTTATGTATCCCAACAATTATATATATTTAAAGTATAAGTAGACATTAATTTATACGTGATATAATAAGTTTAATTAAAATTAAACATATCGTCTAGGTCCCGCCTAGATGCTTAAGCTTGGCCTCTGCCTGCCACCTGAGTAGTGCCTAAAAATGTATAAGCACTACTACAATGATGACTTTAATTAATGTCAGATTGTGTCATCCATAAAGTTTCATCTAATAGTAATTATTCGCGAGTGATTAGCAAAGTTGTTTGATGATTAAGGAACGGATATTTAACAAATTAATACAACTAATTGTGAAAAAGAATGTGATTAAAGTAAAGTAGATAACAAATCAAAACCCTAGCAAGACGTAGAGAGAAAAAAAGCGGATTTTTACAAAGCAACGTTGATGGCTGAGGAAACAAGCGGATCTTTTCTATTTGATGGATTTTCATTGTCAAATTCCTGGCATCTCTTTTGTCTCGATAAATCTCCATTGAATTGGTGTTTTTTTTTTGTCTTGATTTCTTGTGTTTCCTAGGGACAAACAAATTTCCCACTTCGTATCCCACAAGCTATCGAGGCTTTCGAGTCATGACTCGTTTCTATCTAAGTCGTCTAACGTATTGAACTCGTCAACTAGAGCACTATGGAACCAGGTTTGGTTATATATGACGACGACGCTTATCTGGTATGTGTTTGAGAGGAGTACACGAGGAATTGATGAGTAGGTCATGCTAAGTAAAATTGTGTGTTATTTTTCGTTTGTTGTTTTTTTCGAGTGTTAGCGTTTTTGGAATCGTTTTAAGGTTGTGAGTGCCACAGTTCTTTCGAGTCTATGTCTTTGTAGCTTGTTATAACTTAAAAAACTCGGTATGAGTTGTCTTGCTTTAGGCTAGTTTTGCAGTCTCAGTTTACACGACTTTGATATCCATGTTATATGCGAGTTTGTTTACTATGAAGTCGATTTCGTAGTTCTTCACTAGAGTCTCGGAGGTAAGCAGATTGAATTTGTTGGATCTATTGTTCAATGCATGGTACTTTAGGGTTATGAGGTGATCTGGAGCCGCGTCCTTCTCTACAATGTCTAGATAAAAGCATGTCGTTTTCTTATCCCATGAGGTTTAAAACTTTTCATCTGTCACATGATCTTGCAATACTGGATGTATTGGCTTCTATGAATCCTTCATATCTTTCAGCAATGTCTTGCAACACTCTTGTTATTATTTTTATCTTCATATGTTTGTTTGCAAGCACTAGAAGTCATATTCTTCATATGTGTGAATCTTGTATTTGCAATATTTATGGCTGAAATATGTTGATAATTAGGCATATATAACGCCCGTATTTTAGGTTGCTTCAAAATCGAAAACCGTTAACCTTTCTTATCAAATTTCATACTATTCTACCTAATGGATTAAAAAAAAATTCTTATTTATTTTTATTAAAGGTTAGAAAGTCAAAAGTCGAACTCTCATAAAAAATGTGAAGGATAACGCGGTTGATCCTTTATACTTGTTTAATTTACAAGTTGTGTAAAACTTTCTCCTATGCAAGCACCCATTGGCAATTTGGCCATAAGTTTCCAAAACTAATTCATCATTCTTTCTTTACAGTCATTAATCGGCCTAAACGTGCAGATTAACATGCAAAAACAATCATTATCTCATTTGTAATTACGGAGAACAAGTAAAACAAACGAGCGGATGGCAGTACAGATGCTGCCAAATAAGCACAAGGGTATATATGTCATTCAGCTCTGTTCGACAAGGGTATATAAGTAATTCAGCTCTGTTATAGCTGCGCGTAATTCACTGAATTCCACAACCGTACAGCCTCTGAACCTGAACTATCGTGCATAAGAAATTTTTCATTATAATAGAAGTATAAATATTACATTACGTATTTTAGTAAAAATGGTGAGAAATATTATTGTTTAAATTATTAATTTTTTAGCACAAATATGTCACAATTTGTATAATAATTATTATCTCGTGTAACAATTATACTGAAAAATCTCTCTTATTTCATCCCCTCCTGTTATCTTCTACGTGCGCCCCATCCACGTGGCGGCGTCCAGTTCGACTAATGTTCGGTGCGCCCCAGATCTACGTAACGGCGCCGTCAAAACGCCCGTTTTCAGATTCCCCGTCACTGTTAACGGAGTCTGGACCACCTTTTGCCACCCCGCACTTATAAGCCAAATCAATCCCAGCCGTCCAACCGACTCGTCATCATAACCATCATTATCGTCGTCATTGCACTCTCTCTCTCTCTCTCTCTCTCTCTAGAAACGAGCTCCATAGAGAGAGACGGCGAAGAGCAAGTGAATCAAGAACACGAAGAGCTTGCAGAATTCGGCGATGGAACTGGCTCGAGCTGCCACGTCAGCGAATGAGGCGAGGAAGAGGAAGGCCGGCAGCGCGGACGGAGAATTGGTCGAATTGCCGTCGTCGTCGTATGACTTGGATCAGCACAAGAAGCTGAGACGACGCGTCATCGTTGTGAGGAGCGCGCCGAAATCCGAGGCGGAGAGCGTCCGGACGTCGAACGACGATTTTTCGACGTCGGATCACGCGGAGAGCTCCTGCTGCTCGAGTAACGGCTCGAGCGTGCTTGTGGAAGATAGAAAAATCGAGTTCGTAGATCTGGAGGTGAACAATTTTCGAATTAATTTCAAAATTAATTAGTGAAATAAATTCGGCAATAAATTCAATTCTCTTGTAATTCTTTGAATTTTTCAGTTTCGTCGCGCTTTTATTAACTGGAATTTTTAATTCATATTTTTTGCAGGCCGATGAGAGTGACCAGGTCGAATCGTCGACGTATAATTCCAGCAGAGATGAAAGGTATATACACAAATACACACACATATATATATATATATATTATACAATTGTGGAACATTTAGTATTGTAATTTTTGCATCCTATCTTAAATTTCAAAATTCAAAAGTTTAATTTTGTTTTAAATTCGAATTTCACGTAGGTGAAATGTATTTAAATTCCTAGTCTCAAATTATTTGTGTCTCATTTCATTTTTCTCTCTTTGCGTGCGTTCTTTTGCTTTTGCGGCAGGAGAGAGATGACGGTGCCGACGAGCGAAGTTCGAGCGGAAGCAGAATCGACGGCGGAACCAAAGGAGGCGGAGTCTCAACGACGATCACCACCGGTAGTGAACGTGTTGGAGCTCGAAGAATTCTTCGCGGCCACGGAGAAGGAAAGCCAACAAAAATTTATTGAGAAGTAAGTAAAAGTTCAACTCATTTTTTGAAAAATAAATAAAATTTATGATTTTGTACGAATTTAGGTTTAACGTTCTCACGATCCGAGCATGAAATTTCTAAATCTTTGGTAATTTTTCAGGTATAATTATGATGTCGTGAAGGACGAGCCGCTCGAAGGACGATACGAGTGGATTCGATTGAAGCCAAGAAACACTAGTGATCGAAAGGAATCGATAAAGATCGATAATCCTCATGCATAATCTGTTATCATTGTTAATTTTTTTAATTAGGTTCTGCTAATTAATTTCAGTTCTTCGCTTTGTTTATCTTCCTTTAATTATGTACAGCTAAGCCTTAGCTCTCCAAGTTAATTTAGAAGAAGAAGAAGCAGCAGCAGCGGCAGTTTGTTCTGCGTACGATCTGAGTATGAAGAGAACAAACGACTGTTGGAATAACAAAGCTTCTAGAATCCTATTCTCCATTCATTTTCTGGTGTCTCATTCTCTCTACCTATCTCGTACTATTCATTCTTTTGCAGTACTTTTTTATCTCTCGTACCCCGGAAATTACTATGTCGTATTGAAACACCGTCTCGTGGTAAGTATAACCATATGACTTTTAATTATGTTTTATAATTATGTTTCAGCATACGATAATACTAACTTAGTACTAGAACAATATTTTATTGATTAATACTAAGGAGATCAACTTTTTAAATCATATAACGTGGTTGTTGATAATTGAATTATTACTTAAGTATTGATTAACGTGCTTATTTCTTATTGATAACACATCATATGATTTACAAATTTGATCTAAAAAATTGATCTCTCCAGAAAAACCAACATTTATTATATCACGTATCTGTTTTCTAGGATGATAAAACTAGCTTTCCAGAAATGTAGTGTTCCAACAATACATGCAGATGCAGTCGACAAATCCAGTATATTTTGGCGTATGCGAATATTGTTTTGATATGAGCAATTAAAGGAAATAAGAATTTATGTAAATTCAAAAACAATTTGTACTTATTTTCCCTTTGTTTTCGAATATTTTGGAAATAAGTGATATCAAAGCGAACATCTACTTAAAGTCTTACACCATATTTATATATCACTTCATGTGACAGGTGGTGTTCAGATTTTTTCTTTAAATTATTAGAGAAAAAATTCAACTATCTCTCATCACATTATATAATCTATAAAATATGATTTAAAAAACATAAAATTGGGATAAATTAACGTGTGAATTAATATACCCTGAAATATGTGGACACGTGTATGAAGGCCGAAAAGTGATGATCTTATCCTCTTGATCCACCATGATCCACCATCACCAACCAACGTCCCAGTGCGTGGCCGAATCCACCTTTTACAAATCCCAAATAAAAGCATGGAATTGGAAAGAAAGAATATTTACTATTACTAGCTTGTCTAACTCCACTGTTGTACGGAGATCGGAAACTAATTTGGGTTAAAGTTAAAAAAAGCCGACTGCAAAATTAAATAAATTCACTGAATCTCTTCTGCAACTCTCTACTTGTTTCTGTGTGCACTACAAAACAGTTAAAAGAGACAGTGAGAAGGCAACATATGGAAGGTTTGTAGAGAGAAGACAGAAGAGAGAACAGATCAGAGGCTTTTAATTTGACTGATAGATTCATCCGTACTTTCTGAGGGATGGTATATACTTTGGAATTGAGATCCTCGCCGGACCTTTACGTCCAGGGCTGACGGTCCGACGGACCTAAGATCGGAAACACTTATTTAAATTTAACGATTTTATTAACTTATTCTACTAGCTCACTTTACACAAATTAAGAGTTCAGTATTTTAATTTTTTTTTTTCTCTCTTCAAGGGCTCAGAAATCTAGATCTTTGACTTTAGACACAGAAATCCAGTAACAATCTTGACTCTATTTTTTTGTCAAGATTTCATAGCCTGGTCAGCAGTCATTTACTATTTGTGCCGATATTGCCTTGTTTGATTTTACTACAAAGGGCGCAGTGCAATTAGAAGTTGAACTATCTAATACAAGTTGTCGAGGAGTATGCAATTTGATATCATGTCAAAGTTCCGAAGTCGGCTTAATTACGTTGATATCATCCCAACTTATCTACCTACACAGCTCGACATATGGTGCATTCTATCATGAAAAAGCTCGGTGCAATTATAAGCCAACCATTCACTCTACTGAAAAAGGGTTTGGTTTTCTGCTTTTGTTTCGATCATTTATGATATTTTGGAAACTTGCTGCATGATAGAGTGAACAAGAAAAGAGAAGAGAGACAGAATAGGTGGGTGTTATAGGGTAAGTAGTGTAGTACACATAGGCTTATCTGGCTAGCTCCGTGGGTTTGCACTAAGTTTACACAAGAATACAAGAAATTATTTTAACCGTTAATAATTGCTAAATATTGGGAAGTTATAGACTTATAGGGTTCTTATTTAAAATTAAAAGCGTGAAACGAACAGATAGAAAAGTGAAAACGTAGTACGGATTCGATAACCTTATTGTATAAGCAAATGAAATCTACCGACAAATATGAGGAAACCTCAAAATTCGTTGATTGATAATATTAAAGATAATATCGGTCTAAAGTAGACATTGGAAACCAAAACTTTAAAGTTGAAATGTTGATGCCAGTTGCGAATCAATTTGTCATCTCATTTACATTAGAATGAAATAAAATGTTACAAAGTGAGTGCTTTCGCATGGTCGACACCAACGAAAGGACCAAGGGTATGCTTGTGTGTGCTTCAACACACTCCATTCAAAGAAAGATTTTTTTTGTGATACAAACATACTTTACATTAAGGGGTTGAAAATTTTGATCTAAAGGCACAACGAACGCACCATAAAAAATAGGGTATCGAACTTGCCAATAACTACGTTCGATTATAAAGCTTCTCATTTACAAATGAAGAATAATAGACTACAAAACGAATATTTTTTACCAAGTAAAATTTTCTGGAAAAGATTCCAAAAGGAGCCAATTGTACTTGCAACCAGTGTAGAATTAAAAACCAAAAACCAAGATTTATTAAACAAAAATGACTTGTTTCCTTAATTTGTAGGATATTCTTTTCGAGTAAGTGCCTTGTTCGTTGGGATTCTTCTCGTAAGTAGAAAGCGACAAAGGCTTTCGATGAGTCGCTAGCAGTCGATTGTGATTGATCATGGGCTATGCAAAACAAAATGAATTGGACTATGGGCCTAGTTTTCGATCAGTGGGCTTAAGCTTTTAGGAACTCTGTAAAAAATGAAATATCTTCTTCTTTTTTTTTTTTAATCAAATTGTTGCAACAGTTATGACTGGGTTGATAACAATTTAGTTTTTGGGAATTTTGGACAAATACCTGCTGAACTTGCAAGCATGTGTGCAATTATTTCCTGAATTTTTAATTTTTACCACTTGAACTTTCTTAACCGTTGGAATCTACAACCGTGTTCACGTGGAAGGTTATTTTTGTCAATTCATTTCCCTAGGATTAGCTGGAATCAATTTGTAAGAAGGCAAAAGGTTTTTTTTTTTTTTTTTTTTTTAACAGTGGCGTTGGAGTCATGTCGTGAAGAGAAATAGAGAAGTTGATTTCGATTTGATTTATGCAAGGGTGGTTGAAGAATTGAAGGGAAAATTATGCAAAAATCTAGTTTTTCATTTATAGTGAGTTTTCAAGATTTTTTTTTTGTAGGTTAACAAGTGCCTGTATGGTTCGCCTTAATTTATTCGTACTCTTGTGGAGGGAATTGTTGAACTGGGGCTGTACAAATCCCCAATTTTGGCGCCATATTGACTTAGTATTATTTTGAAGCCAATTTGAACCTAGACAGTCCCATAAAGTTAATTGACGAAAATATCCCTATAGGTGACATGTTTTAACAGCAAAATGGATGAGGTGGTAGATTCTAACAGTTAAGAAAGTCCAGGTGGTAAAAAATAAAAAATGAAAGTTCATGCGATATTGCACATGCTTACAATTTCAAGTGTTACTTGCGCAAAAAACCCTTAGTTTTTTGTTTTTGGTTTTTACTTTCTGAGTGTGTGAGGTATAAATAAATTATATGCGGTAAATCAGGGATGAAGAAGTGATAAGAGTAAGAAGAAATTAAAATAAATTTTTGAAAGTGAAAGCATCTTAAAATAGATTTTTATTTTTATTTTGTGTGCATTTTCTTGTACATTTCTTCTTCTGTCCCTCTCCACCATCCTTCGTCGACTCTTTTTCACCCTCCTCCTATGTGTTTTACTTCTATCAATAACATAAAAACAAAAACAAAAAGATTATTAAACGGGTCTTTACTCTTTAGTGTCCCAAAAATACTCGAATTAAGAAGTTATTCCTCTATACAAACAAATCTAAATTTACATTCTTACTTAAACATCTCTTTTTTTTATATTTTTTTTTTTATTGTGATAATCACTTCAGTATCCATGCCAGTATGTAATAAACATCTCCTCTTATTATTATTCATCGTCATCTCCTAACTATAGTTCAGGCTACAACTTGTACACATGGGCCATGGCATAGATTGTTTCATTAATTATATTCTTTCACAATTCTAACATCCTTTTTTGAGATGAGATCGATGTAGCTTAATTTATAACTTTTAAGCAAGAAACTGCATGCATACAGTAGTTTAACATAATATATTTTTGTGAAACATATAGCTTGGGGTTATCTACAATACACCACCTGTATGAAATGCATCAATATTTAAGATGCTAAATTGAGAATGTCAAAACTAGACCTGGCAATTTATTACACGACCCGTTAACACGACACGTAAACGACATGAAAATAACGGGTTTCGGGTCAACACGATAACTAATCGGGTCATTATCGGGTCACACGATAATAACCCGTTAATAACGGGTCCTTAACAGGTTTACACGAAAGTGACACGCGGGTAACCTGTTTCGACACGATAAGAAAAATGCTATTTTGATGATTTTAATTTTTTAAACTACTAAAAAAAACTTACTAAAAATGCAATAGATATAATGAATATGTATATATTGTTTATTAATTATTATTCTATTATTATTCTATATAAATTTTAAAATTTAAGTTTTATTTATTTATTTATTTTTATAGTATATTATAGGCAAGGATTGAGATTAAAAATCATAAAACACATTAAAAATAAAAATATCAAGTAATTTAAAAATACCAAAAACATAAAAAAATTATAATAATTAATTTCCCGCCTAATATTTCAAGAGTTTCATCCATTTCCCACCTAATGTTTGGGAAATTTTGCAACCTATATCCATCCATTTCCCGCCTAATGTTTAACCCAAAGAAAAAAAATAACCAGCTTTTTTTTTTTTTTTTTATCTCTTATAACATTTTAACTTGAATAAAAATAAAATACGTAATAAAAAAACATAAATGTAATTTTATTATTAAATATCATCACATACTAATTGAAACATAGTCTAATTAACACTTAAAATATATAAATAATTAATATATTTAT